AGTAAATTAATTAATAAGTTATTTGTGGGTGCAGAGCTCCGTGACGTAAATGTCCATATCGCTAATGAGTGGTTGATCCATTAATTAAAAGGAATTTATATTGAATGACATTCATATATTCAATTATATATCTCAATCATTTTCCTCTCTCGTTTCTTTGGTTTCATTATTTCTATCTATTTTTTTCTTGTTTTGTTTGAGTAGGCAAAACGTCAAATAACGATTTATTGTTCTGTGGCAACTCGCAAGCAAACATTATCCATCACCAAACAAAAATCAGTGTTTTTTGGATCCTTGTTGCACATCGACCTTAATTACATACATATTTTAAAGTCTAGTATTTACTATGATTTTCTTGGTCCACATCCACTAATTTGGTCTCTGTTTTTTTGGACTAGTAAATTCGAAAAATGGTTCTGTAGCCACAAGTGGGAAATTTACAATGCTTTTCCTTTGGCCTCTATCTGTGAGTGTCCATGTCAGAAAAGGGTTCAACCTTCTATTATTAAAATTAATTTTTATATACGTTGAATAATTGAAATTATAACATTTTTAATTGTTGAAAATTTTCCCAATTAAAAACTACGAAAAATAAATTTAAAAAATAGAGATAAAACACCACGATATTGAGAGTTGATAAAGTTAACTATAATAAACCAAACGACCTTAAAATAAGATAATCAACACAAATTCTAAACCCTAATTTTCAGGAACCATTATTTCTTATTTAATGACTCTAATATGTATATATTTTGATATGCTAAGTTGTTTAATATGTTATGTGTGCTTGTTTAACTATATATAATAATAATGGAGTCTTTACATATTATTCAATACATCTACATAATCTATATAAGGATAAAAATGATAGAAACTATAGTAGTTTTATTATTAAAAGCAATTTAATATAGTATATCATACAAATATTGTTTATAATTATACTGTAAATATATATTTTGATATGCTATGTGAGGACCTGGAAAATTATAAGGCCATTGGGCCCTAGTTGGAGGCAGTCAGGCCCAGACTAAGGGAACCTTAACTTAGCCAGGGTCATTCCCCAAAAGCTAG